CCCCCTGCTCCCTACACTTCTCAGAGGTTCTCATTAGTATCATATAAAATACAAGTTGGAAAGGAGCTATTTTTGGTGAAAGTTGTTGTGGTGTCAAGATCAGTGTATGATGGAAGTGCTTGTTAGAACCACTATAGAATTAGTAACACAGGTCCATAATGAGTTCCATAGACTAAGTGGTGCAGGAAGTATTTATGGCAATGACACAGTTTGAAGGGCTCTTGGTAATGTACATTAGTTTGATGGTTTGTATAAATGTTATTGGTGACTCAATCGATTCTTGGAAACTTGATCATTTCCTGATGTTTAAGAACTGTTGCTTTTTAACCAGTAAAAAATAGGAATGGATTTGAACAATGCTTCCACTTATATTCAACCCTACTATGATTTTTCTGTGTTTATAAAATATTATTTGAATGAAAAATATGGAACTTAAACAATCTATGGTTTTTAGTTAGAAGAATTGATGAATGCACTCGAAAAGACCAGACAAGAATTGGATGCTACCAAAGCCCGTCTTGCCTCAACACAGCAGTCTCTGGCTGAGAAAGAAGCACATCTGGCTAACCTCAGAATAGAGCGGAGAAAACAGCTTGAAGAAATATTAGAAATGAAGTAAGTGCATTTACTCCTAATAATACTTAATGCATTGAAATTTCAGGTTTTTTCTTTTCTATATGTACTGTATTCTGATTTAAACAGTTTGAAACTTCGGACCTCTAGGAAATGTGTGTTGGTTAGGTTCACTCTAAAATGAAGACATGCAATAAAATATCCTTGGATTATGAAGGTAATATTTATTGGCAAATCAATAACAGATACAGGTAGAAATCTTGAAAAAGTGCTTTGTTATCACTTCAAGATCAGTGTTTTAAATTTCCATAATGTTCTGCCTTATTCTAACGTGAAAAGGGTTCACCTTTGGCACACAGCAAATTTGTCCAATGAACTATGCTAAAACTAGGATGTGGTCATGTCTTTCAGTAAGAATCCTGAGAAAAGCTTCATGTTGGATTTCCTGTTTAAGTATCAAATGAGGGTAAGAGAAGATCAATTTTATATATATTTTCTGAAGCTTATTAAGTTGAATTGGCACAAAATAGCAGCTTACAACACTATTTCCATATAGTCTTAAGAAACTAAAAATGGTACCAAGGCCTATAATTTAAATTTAACTTCATCCCCACAATAAAGAGAAATATGTGTAATTATAATGCATTAAGGCTGTGGCATTTTCTTTCAAACTAGCATCTTGCTAGAGAAGAATGTCCTTATTATGACTTGGCCAGTCTGGTAACTATATTGTGAACATTACATACCAAAAATTCAAAGAACACAAAATGTTTTGTACAATTTAAAATAAAATAAAAAAATAGGCTATTGCTAATTTTCAGCTTTCATTAGTTCTCTGACTGTACAGGGCAAGTGTCCATACAGTTATTAATAAAGGTAAGTCCATCTGATAAAAATGATTTAATACTTCTGCTCTAAATACAGTACAGAAAACATACACATGTATACATACAGTATAATTCTTTTTACATCAAACTGAACAATGGCTATAATATGATACGTGGGTTGGTTATAAATATCTGGGTGCAATCATACCAATGAAATCTATTGGCATTTTCATCTATGGTCTGTAGTGAAAAGTGGTAATGTACATTGTACTTTGTTGATTACACTATTGTTTTAGGGTACGTCTACACAGCAGCATTATTTTGGAATAACTAACGTTATTCTGAAATAACATAGTCTGTGTCTGCACAGAAGCAGTTATTTCAACATAATGTCGAAATAACGCCAGCTGGAGGACTTCTTACTCTGACTCCTGTAACCCTCATTTTATGAGGATTAAGGGAAGTCGGAGGAAGAGTTCTCTTTCTCGGACTTCCTATAGGTAGACAGAGTCAAGAGCCGAAATAAGCTTCTTCAACTTAAGCTATACAATTGACGCAGCTCAAGTTGTGTAGCTTATTTTGGATTTAGCCCTGCTGTGTACATGTGCCCCTGGTGAGCAAACAGGGAACTAAATGAAATAATAAGCAGTTTTTGTTTTCTTTGCTGTTTTCTTATAGCTTTCTTTTATATGGATAAATATAGTTAGCTGCTCATTCATTGGCTCAGTGCCAATGTTTCTCTGTCTTGACAGTATAATGCTATTTGCTGTAGTCGATTGCATTATGTACAGTGGTAATGTCTCTCCTTAATGGAAAGGATACATTTTTGGTATGACTGACCACAAATATCAGTTGTTAGGCAAAACTTAAGAAAACATCATAAGGCAAGTTCTGGTTGTTGCTGTGGGATATTTGGGTGGCTGAACAGTCTCATGAATATTGGAGACACATGTTTTGGAATGCATCATTTGCTTGAGATTCCTAGTTGGTAAACCTTATGTAGAGTTTGAATTCACTTTGGACAGAAATGGATTTCCTAGCTTTATGGATAGGCTCCTACCAAATTTATGGCCATGAAAAATGTGTCATGGGCTATGAGATCTGGTCCTCTTCCCCTATGAAATCTGGTCTTCTGTTTGCTTCCCCCTATACTATGCAGATGTGGAGGAGCAGCATTTCTCAAATGGGGAGTCCTGACCCAAAATGGAGTTGCAAGGGGCATCACAAGGTTATTGAGGGGGGTCATGGTATTGCTACCCTTACTTCTGTGCTGACATTAGAGCTGGGTGGCATACCATGCCATGCTACCCTTACTTAGGTATTGCTGCTGGGAGCGGTTCTGACTTCAGAGTTGAGCACCCAGACAGCTGCCACCTCTCTACAGCTGTTTAGTTCTGAAGTTAGTGTTGCCACCAGCAGCAGCACAGAAGTAACAGTAGCAGTACTGCAAACCTTCCCCTTCCTCCCCCCACAATAACCTTGTAACCATTGTACACCATATCTCCTTTATGAATCAGAACCCCTACAATTACAACATCATGAAATTTCAGATTTAAGTACATGAAATAATGAAATTTATAATTTTTAAAATACTATGACCATGAAGTTGACCAGATTGGACTGTGAATTTGGTAGTGCCTTATTTATGGATAAAGGACCTAATAGACAGTAGAAGACTCTGTTTTCTTATCCCAGGGATAGAAAGGAGTCAAAGGATAGGATGGGACATAAAAGTAGGCAATAGACAGTTAATGGCTCTGAGTCATTAATGCTGTGATGACAACAAGATGGATAAGATACTGTTTTTAGTTTTTTTCTGAATTTATACAGTTGCCAGTGTTGTTTGTTCTTTAAGTTTTAATAATTACTTTTAACAGCCAGCTTCAATATTTTTTATATTGTTGCCTTTTAATTTATTGGTTTATAGAGTTGAGAATGCATGTATGTATATTTGTCCTACCCTTAACTGGTGCTTCTGTCTTTAAGAAAAGCAATTTGGTACATACAGTTTATTTCAATCGATTTTTATTCTTAAAATATGAACCATGATTTTTCCAAAAAGATGTTTTCCATATTAAAAATAAACCCAAACATCTAAATCAAGAAAACTGACTTATACATAAATAAAGAATATTTCATAGACAGCAGAAGGTTTCCTAACCATCTTCTTCTCTTGCTGCTTGGAATTTGCAGGCCAGGGTAATTAAGTGAAAGTCCCACATTCACTACTTTATTACTTCTGGTTTTAAGTTTTATATATATATATATATATATAAACTCCAGAGAGTTGTTTGGAGTTTAAACATGTACCTTTTTGGAAGTCTCTTCTTTCTAGACATGTGGGACATCCCTAAGCCTAACACAGAGATCTAGTCCTACTGAAAACTATGTGAATATTGCTAATGATTTAGGTGGGAATAGGATTGGGATTACTTTCCTTAGTAAATAAAACAGATGTTAATGTATTACTGTTTTATAGTATACCATAAAATACTGTTATGTGAAATGTGATATGAGACTGAATTAACATTAGGGAAAATCCTTAAGTGTGATTTCAGTCTTACTCTGAAATGAATTTCTGATTACCTGTGCATTTATATATTATTCAATTTGAATGAGATTATCTGATAATATCATTTTAACACAATAGGGCTATGCATGTGTATCTGTGACTTGGTCAATATAACCTTATAACTTGTGAGGATGTGTGAAATTTAAAGAATTTATCATGACTATCAGAATCCAGGATCACATTAATATGAAACTTAACAGTGCCATTTTTCCAAGCACACTTTTTAATGGAGACCTGCACTTGAACTTCTTAATTTTGTTACTTTTTCAGTGCTTGTTACCACAATCTTAAGATTGCATTAATGCAATTTAAAAATAAAATGATTGTAACTTTGCCTTAATACAGTTTAGAAAACATAAAAAATTATATAGGTAAAAAATCATGCTTTGAGTTTTATTGATGAAAATAGCTTTATTAATGCTATATGTTGTTTCTGAACATATAAGAAGTATGCTTTATAATGTGAATTTACATCTTTATATGTGAAAATATTTAGATTTAATAAAATCTGCAGGACATTATATAATATACTTTCTAAATAGGCCAATAAGAATAATTCACAAATGTATCAAAGGAGTTTGATAGTATATACTTGCTTACTGAAAAAAACCATAATGAAAGAGCATTTAAAAATTGCATGGCATTTAATTATTTTTATTTTTATTAATATACATTATATTCCAATAATCAAACTGTAAATAAAATTCGATCTATATGACTGAAGACAGAATAATGACAGGTCTGCATAGCAGTAATAGATCAACATTGTGTTTATTCATCTGCTTTTTCTCTGATAATGTATTAATTTAAGCAGAAGACCAGATTATAGCTCCATAACGGGTATTTATCATTTTATTATTTAATGCCAAGTGGATACAATTTATGACTGCTGGCTTATGGTCAGATAGGCATGAGTTGTATACTTAAGAACTTTCATGATGATTTCCTATGCTTTATATAATGTTAACGTTCCAAACATAGCTCTCCATTCTAAACCCATCTGATTGATATTGCCAAGATCTATCTTAATTTGCTGGATATAATCAGTTGTCAGTTTTAGACTAATTCTTCAGTTGTTATTACAAGTCTCCATGGACACTAAGCTATTTAAAGAACTTTAGAATTAAACAAGGTAGCAACTTAATCTAGTGCATTATGTATATGGGCTTTTTGATCTGGACTCTGAGGGCACATCTACACAGCAGGGCAAAATTTGAATTAAAATACACAACTTCAGCTACGTCAGTTGTGTAGCTGATATCAAAATAGCTTAATTTGGCTTAATGAGCTCACCACTCATTAGATGAGTACCCTTCAAAGACGATTCAGTTCAATGGAATGAGATACACATCTCCTTGTATTCTGCATTGGAGGTTAACATGAAAAGATTAAATTTCTATTTTTAATAATGCCACAATACTGAAGAAAACGTGGAGTCCTGTGGTACCTAGGGGCATGTCTGCACTAGGAAATTATTTTGAAATAACTGATTTCACATTAATACCTCCTGAAATAATTATTTAGAAATAAGCTTATTCCATCAGGAAAGCAGGAGCACAGATTTTGAATAATCATACTTTTATTTTGAAATAACAGGCTTGGTAGCGTGGATGCTCAGCTTATTATTTCAAAATAAGGGAGGT